CTTTTCATACATTTATACTTTACTGATACATCTGTCCAAGTTAGCAAACTGAACACCAAAAAAAGATGAAAACATCAATTGTCTACCATAAATGTCAACCACAGTAAACATTCCCAAATAATATAAGCTTTGACATTTTAATTTAATCAAGGTTATCATTTGATAAAACTAGTTGATTCACTGTCTAAATTGTACACCTTTTTAAAGATAAATCATTTTATATTAGAAAGGGTTTTTTTGTGGATATTATAGTCATTTTAATAGTTGAGATCATGAGTTAATTGAAGCTATTCCATTATGGAAAACCTGGAAGCACTGGACGGTCGTTTCGTCCTAATGTGGGACTCCTTAGCAATGCGCATCCATGATCCCGCCTCACGAGATTCGAACTCAGGACCTATCGGTTAGTGTAAGTGGATGGATCTTATATACTCAAATTGATAAATAGATATATGATGTAATCGAGAAAGTCAGTTTATTGGAGATAAGAAATGTACACTTGTAGATAATTAAATAATGAAAAATGAAATTATTAACTGGAAGGATAGTTTTATCAGTATTAACTTAAATGAAACAAAATAGACAATTTTCAAGTTATTTATTTTCTATTCATTTTATATTGGTTGTTTGAATCTTCCCATCGATGTTTAGGACTGACATAGATCAGTCTGTTATTGGCATATGTACATTCTGTGCGGATTGCCTAGATATTGCATCAAATCACAAGTAGAGATGGATGGTGGTTAGCAGCGGAATCCATCAACGAAAGATTCAAACAAACAATACAAAAATGAATTAAAACTTCACTTCATTACACTAGCTAGTGACTATCAAGACTCAGTAGTCAAGTAGATAACATGATGATGCTTGAAGAGAATGGTACTTGGTTCGAGTAATAGAGTGAATATCAATTCTGAGATGCAGGTTCATTCAGATGACAAATCCTAAAAGGGATGAAACGCGTGTCAAACTGGATTCCACTGCTAACCATCTCAGAGTTGATGTTCATTCTGGGACTCGAACACAATACCTTTTGTTTCAAACGCCATCACATCTATCAAACAGTTTAGTCTGCAAAGAATATTGTGAAATGTTAACTTCAAATTTCTTAGTTCTCAATATTAATTACATTTCTGCAACGCGTGAACTGTCATATATATATATATAGACAGGTAGATATGAACACCTTAACCTGGACAAAATAATTCAATTATCACAGATACCCTAGTGCCCAAACCGAAACAGGTGGTTTTCTTAGAAAGCCACACCCGGAGCATTTGACCTAAAGGCCTAATCCACAAGGCAGTGGAGCATCGTAAGGAGATGCAGTCACATGGTAGCCGGTGACTAACGATTGGTTCATACAACATTTGTTCCCTCAGGATACTGGAGCCCATGTACACCATTGGTTTGGAATGAGGGTTTTCCAACTCCCCTAGGTGGACTTCCCGTGTTCATCAACCCGGTAATTTGCCGGACATTCACTTTTTCGTCCTCTCAATTTCGTAAACAACACCCGTGGTGTGAGAAGGCAGTGAGAAGAACTTCCTTGTCAGAGGCTATATACTCGTAGCAATGTGAAAGCATTTGGAGAAGGAGAGTGAACTCTCCTTACTCTTGATCATACCACAGCTACTTAACTAATCTATGTAAACATTAAATACACAAACTACTTCAAAATTCAGTAGCCATAATAATAATACTAATAATGAGTAAATTTTAAAAAAGGTACCATATTAAATCATGAAACAACTATTTTGAAATAATGTTATTCAAACACTTAACTCCATCATAACATGTAAAGGTCTAAGGTATTTCATAAAGCCATACAATTTTTCCTTCTATCCCTTAGGCGTAAGAAGATGTTATATCGTTTTACCTTATATAAATGGATTTTAATTAATTAATTAATTAATTTCCTTATTTATATTCTGTCTACGATATAAGCATTCTTTAGAATAGTCTCATTCTATATTTTAAGGGTTAAATAGGTCTATTATATAAATGATGTATATAACATATGTCAGTGAAATTTGTCAAAGAGGAAATGATAATCATCTCTACTTTTTATACTCTTCTTCTTTTTCTAAACATGGGATGTTGTGTACGCTTGAGTAGATAGAAAAAAACAGTCATTAAAAATGGTTGGTCATGCGTAAAATAGAATATAAAAGGCCAAAGGTTAATCAATGTTGAAAGAATTCATATGTGAAAACATGAATGGATTTAGATCAGAAGGAGTTTTTGTGAAGAATTTAGTATTTTCATAGTTGAAATCATGAGTTAATTGAAGCTAGACCACCATGGAAAACCTGGAAGCACTGCTTTAAGTTCGTTTCGTCCTATTGTGGGACTCCTCAGCAGTGTGCATTCACGATCCCGCACTCGTGAGATTCGAACCCAGGACCTGACAGTCTCGCTTCAGAGCATTTAACCGATAGACCATTGAGCCGACCGGCATCGAACGGTGTTAATGTCTAACTTCAACCAATCCATGATGTTTGAGCAACCGTTCACCAATGAGTTGATAACTCTACAACAGACTTGACCGAACTTCATTGGTCACTCCTTCTAACTAGATCATTGGTGCGCACTGTTGAGGAGTCCGACAATAGGACGAAACGGTCGTCCAGTGCTTACAGGTTTTCGATGATGATCTAGATTAAATTGACTCATGATTTCAACTATGAATTGATTTAAGTATAACAGCTCAAGGGAATAAGAAAAAGAATCAATATCCCTTGGATAAATTGTAAATTTTATAATATATTTTTTACAGTTTTCAAGTTACAAAAATTTCTAATAAGAAAATACTCAGCGAGATTGTAATTTATGAATGGATCAATAAGGTTTAGGATAACAAGTCTTGGATTTTGATGCAACATTCATTCATCCATTTGACTAAATAAAGTTTTGGCATTATAGCTGAAGTCGGTTCATGATAGAAATCTGAAATCATGATCCTAATTCTTCACACTGGCTTATAACCCTCACTTAACACTAGTAAGTAGGTGGACACTTTCAAGGTCACTTTAGCGTCATTCAAAGGTCGTCCATAAATTATAGTCTCACCGAAAATAGCTATAGTTCAATAATAGGTGGGTTTCAAATAGCTAGGCCAGCAAGTTTCAAATCAGCCCACCCAGTAATTGAAAGTCAAGTGTTTTGACCGTTGAACCACTAGTTTAGATTACAATACCTACTATTAGTTGATCATAATCAATGTAAAGCTTGAATATTGAACTAGTATAAGTAATTCTGGTTTGAATAGGAATAATTGCGGTTAGGTGAAATGAAATGAAGAAACTTGGGATCCGAAGGAAGATAAAGAATGAATCAGTCCTAGTCACTGTGACAGATTCTGAACTATATCACTAAAGGTCCGCATCCAATAGCTATAATAATTGCACGGATTACAATAAGATGACCTGCACTTGTCAACATAACTCATTTCAGTAATGAACGACTTCATAAACTGATGCAACATTTTGGTTTTGGTGCCCTTGTTTTTTTCCAGTGTCCTTCTCAGTCAATCAAGATCACTCATCAAGGTAAATGGTGTTTGTACATTCTTGATATTAATAAATGATACTATGTAAAAAGTAGCTCTTCTATCCTAGTTGTTTACTATGCAACTAAACATGGATATTTTTTGTTCGCTTGTTTTGTAATTCAGCAATGTACTACACTTGTAGTATGGTGTTCCAGACAATGTTAAGACTGGTCAAGTGCTATCAGGTGAAGCATATCGGCTTTTCTGAAAATGGTTTCCGTTTCTTACAGCTCACAAACCCACCTCGTAGATGTGACTGAATGAGGAAGTCGTTATCCCCAAGTCTTCGTGTGCGGGTGACGTATCAGGTTCAAGTGATGATCTACATGAATACCGGTAACACATAAGTTTCCACCCATCCATCCCCTGGGATACAAATGTGTATACTTACCCTGTGAGCAAATACATGCACACCGGTAACATATAAGTTTTCACCTACGCATCCTATAGCATACGTACAGGTGTATTCACCAATCTGGGAGGGTAGACAGTCACCGCTCTTTTCGAACGTATTTGTTACAACTGCTACTTACTCATTACATGCGTATTACTGGTACAAAGACTTTCGTCCCTGCACTATATGACATACACATAAAGATACACACTATTTCGGATTAGGTTTGACGGTCACCAATGCCTAGTATTTTCTACCATACTTTTTTATTATGTCTTCGACTGAAGTATAAGGCCGCTGATTTTATTAGACATAAGGCAGACATTTTCCTACTTACGTTCCTTGTGCTAAACCGCTCGCGTACCCTTTCCAAATACTTACATACATAAACCACACTAGCCGAAACTCATGCAATTCATATACGTAAGCATGCACATCGGGCAGCCCGCAAGATTCTAAGCAGCCCCAGGAAATGAAACCCAGTTAATCCTATTTACATCAGAGTGGTGGATTAGTCCGACCTCCGCAGACTGTTCAGGTTAGCAAGGTTTCTCCTACTATCCAGCAACGCTGCGGGGGGGGGGGCTTTAGGTCGGATTCTGCTTGTAGTACCATTACACTGTTGACAAATTATAAACTTCATTTACTCAATTTTGAAAATGTTTTACATATATAAGGAAGCAGGAATGTTTAAGATTTCAAACATTTCATCACCATTGCACAGTTGGCAATTTATGTGAATGTCTCAATGAAATGAATGATTAGTTACTATTTCAATTGATTAGCGAAATTAACTGATGGTAAATCAAAATTGCCAAAACTCTAGACAGTTATCTAGCTCACTTTCAAGCAGATCTAGATAGCGTTTAATTATGTATGTTATTTATCAGCATATTTCGTTAGACTATACCACCGTTTCTTTAGATATAGCATTCAGTGATTTTTAGTGTTATCTTGGAAGTTGTGAGAAATTCAAAACTTCACTGTGGAAGTAAACAGTATTTAACAAAAATTAATTAATGAAAAAGACTAACAAAGACTTAAACTGCTTACTGTATACAATTGTCTTGAAGCTGAAGGAGCATTCTGTTCACATTCACAAGTATTCCTTGAATTACAAGAGCCTATGTTGCATATTTCTGTTTCTCTTAACTCGTCCAACGTTTGTCCGACTGTTGGTGATGTAGTTGTTGTGACTATTGAATCACCTGGTACTTCTGTGAAACTTGTTACAGCACTTGTATGTGCACTAATTTGATCAGTACCATTTGCTGAACAAGGAGAAAAGTTTAGACATGAAGATGTTCCTACTAAATGCGGTTGTACAGTGTATGCTGGATAGGGCATAAAGGTGCCCGATTCAGTTTGGAATGTAGGCGTAATTCGATTAGCTGGAGCATATAAAGGTAAATGGAGTGTTCCCATTGGATTTGAGATATTTTGATCCATAGGAAGAGGACAGAAAGTATCATTTATATTGGTATTTATACCTCCGGGGCCTGAGTTGGCTGAATAGTATACTCCAGGAGGGGAATTAGGATTATGCCAACCATAAGGGTGCATCTCAGGGGCTGAATGCAAAGTATCCAAATAGTTACCTCCATTAGATTGATATCCTAATTTAAGTGCATCCAAATCAGAAGGAGTTGGACTAATACTCATCATATAACCAGTACCATCTAATGGATGATTATACTCATGTTTTAATGGGAACATTGAACCCTCAGCTCCATCTCCAGCACTTCTTCCTCTATGGAAACCATTCGCTTGTGGATATGCTTGTGGTCGATTCCACTGTAGTGAGGATCGTCTACGAATACAAATAATGGCGACCACAAGACAAACCGAGATTAGACCAGTTATTGCGATCATCACTATGATGATCATAAAGTTCAAACCCGCGTTTGTTATTGAATCTGAACCAAATACATTGACCTGAAAATCAGGAAAGTATAAATTCAAGTATAAATATCGATGTTTAATTGACAACAACAGAAATAAAGATTACAATAATGTAAGTAGGCTAAAGATTGATATAAGTAGAATTGAAGAATCACTAGGTACTTCATGATCATTTCTATGTTTACTGAATCCACCTGACAAATTATAAGTTAGTTATAGTTATATATAATATACCCTTATGGGTCAGAGTAATCTTGCACTGGTTTTCAGGAGAACCAGACACCATCCAGACTTTCACGCCGCAACCCAAACAGTACAGCTCAATCCCGTTTACCTGACAAATTATAAGTACATGAATAAATATTTTGTGAATCAATGACAAACTTAAACATACCCAGTGGATATTTATTTGGTAGCTTAGGCTTTCTGTTTTTTCTCAAATCTATTCAATTCTGATTAAGCCTGTAGCTTCTCCGAGGGCTACTGTCGGTCTCAAGCCCGGATAAAGGAGGAGGGTTGGGCATTCGGGTTAGCTACCCCATCCCGTAGAAAACTAACTCGCTAAAAAAACGCTCACAAGAAAAAATTTCATGACCAAATCATTAATTTAGTTATATTAATCACTCCTGTATTTTATCAGTCGATCACTCGAAAGTGTACACAAACCAAATAACAAAGATGCACATATACATTTACATGTTATTGTCATTGCACATACGTATATTCAACTGTAAAAGTTTGGAAACATTGTGGTACATATGAAAACTAAATGAATATTAGTATACAACCAATTCATTTGTCAACCCATATATATATTATATATATATGTATATATATATATAGAGAGAAAAAAATTATTGTATGACACTATGCTTTGTCTAGCACAAATATGAATTGTATTTCATTTTTGGTCAGAGGGGGTTTTGTGGAGAATTTAGTATTTGCACAGTTGAAATCATGAGTCAATTGAAGCTAGACCACCATCGAAAACCTGGAAGCATTGGACGGCCGTTTCGTCCTATCATGGGACTCCTCAGCAGTGCGCATCCACGAACCCGCTCTCGCGAGCGAGATTCGAACCCAGGACCTACCAGTCTTGAGCCGAAGCCCTTAACCGATAGACCACTGAGCTGGCATCCAACGGTGTTAATGTCTAACTTCAACCAATCCATGATATTGAGCGACCGTTCACCAATTGTCTTCAGTGAGATTATATCTCTACAAAAGACCTTGTAGAACTCCACTGGCCATTTAGATATTTAGTCCATGTGTACAGAAAACAAATGATGAATATGATTCCTTAATTGTTATTATGAGTTATCATAATTATATGAATCAATAAGTGAAGAAAACTTCCACCTGAAGTTTGTACTGATGATGTCGTTTCAGAAGAACGATGAAAGCTTCATGAACAAACCATTCAGTTCAGAGAACCAAACTCCATCAAAGAAGAAGAAAACATCTCTAGTAGTATCTTTCGTTATAACTGTGATTAATTTTTTCAAAATTTATCTATATTAAACTATCTAATTGTTATTTATTTATATAGTTGAGATCATGTGTCAATTTGGGCTAAACCAACATGGAAAACCTGAAAGCACTGCTTTAAGGTCGTTTCGTCCCATTATGGGACTCCTCAGCAGTGCGGATCCACGATCCCGCACTCGCGAGATTCGAACTCAGGACCTACCAGTCTCGCCCCAGAGCACTTAAGCTATAGACCACTGAGCCGGCCGGCGTCCAACGGTGTTAATGTCTAACTTTAACCAATCGTGGATGCGCACTGCTAAGGAGTCCCCTAGCGGGACGAAACGGCCGTCAAACAGTGCTTCCAGGTTTTTCATGGTAGTCTAGCTTCAATTGACTCATGATCTCAACCATATAAAATTACTAAAATCTTCACAAAACCCTCTTCTGTTAATGATCATATGCTCACTAGTGACTTGCTCCATGAGGTATTTCCTCGTGTTCTAGTGAGAAGCAGTAACCAACGGAGTTCAACCAGGTCTCTTGTGAGATATCAACTCACTGAAGACATTGGTGAATGGTTGCTCAATTTCATGGATTGGTTGAAGTTAGACATTAACACCGTTGGGTACCGGCCGGCTCAGTGGCCTAGTAGTTAAACGCTCGCGCGCGAGACTGATAGATCCTGTGTTCGAACGTCGCCAGGCGGGATCGTGAATGCACACTGCTAAGGAGTCCCCTAGCTGGATGAAACGGCCGTCAAACAGTGCTTCCAGGTTTTTCATGGTAGTCTAGCTTCAATTGACTCATGATTTCAACTATATAAATTTACTAAAATCTTCACAAAACCCCCTTCTGTTATTTATTTAAATGAATATTTATAATTTGTATGATCTATACCAGCTAAAATAAACAAAATTGATTAGTTGACAAGTTAATTAGTTAAAAAATTCAAAAGGTGGTTAAATTTTGTTTAAAAAATTTATCTTTAAATCGTTTGTTTTCATTAAAACAACAAATTGTTCACTGATTTATGTTTATAAATTTAACTATAATTAATGGAGTATTTTCTCTTTTGAAAATATAAATGAAAAAAGAAAACAAAACAATGAGTCAGTATGTTGGTAGCTTATATATATAAACAAAGAATTAGAATAGTTGAATTCATGAGTTTGATCTGAAGTTAGATCACTATTAGAAACCTGGAAGTACTAGATAGTTGTTTCATCCTAATATAGGACTATTCAGAAGTGGGTATCCAAGGGACTCTAACCCAGGATATTCGGTCTTGTGTGCGAACTCTTAACCTCTAGACTACTGAGATGACATCCAACGTTGTTAATATCCATGGTTTTGAGCAACCCTTCATTTAATGTCTGAAGTGGATAACTGTCTCCACACAACAAAGATTGGACTTAACTAGTCACAGCTTTTCACTAGAACTCGAGGAAATCCATATTGAAGCCATTCACTAGTGAATACATGATTTTTATCAGAATGAGGATTTTTGGAGGTTATAATAATTTTAATAATTGAATTCATGAGTCGATCTAAGCTGAACCACCATTGAATACATGGAAGCCGTTTCGTCCTAGTATGCTTCTTGTGTTCAATGGTGGTTCAGCTTAGATCGACTTATGATTTCAACTATTATAATTACTACAATCTCTACAATTCTGCATTCTGATAAAGAATTATAAGTAACTTTTATTAAAGATAATTAATGTTAATATAGTGAATTCCCATAACTAAATTGACAGTCAAGTGTGTTTGTCTGGAAAGCTGCTCCCTAGGAAGAATGAACTATTCGGCACTTGTAGATTTTCCTTTATTTATCTATTGTTGCATATATATGAAAGTTATTTGCACTATTCAATTAAAAATTTCACTTGAAGTTTAGATAACTGTAAAATATCATCTAAATCAACTTTCAACCTACCTGAAGCCAAGTTTCTGTAGCCTGTTCAGGATGTCCCATATCTGAAGCACGTAAACGTAGTCTATACACACCGGGAAGTAATGGGGTAGACTCAACGGAGTCATCCAATGCGTATTGAGCTTCTTCATTTCGTATCATTTCATTCAAATTATTCTTTACAACTGAAATCTCTCCAGTAACATTGTCAATCTAATAAGAGATATTCAATAGGTGACATTACATTTCATTTTAAAGAAATATGTGTGATGATGAAAACTGAGAACTGCGTATTTTGACAGTGTTTGAAGCTAAATCTCTAAAGAGTTTTGGTTTCAATAGTGAAAACATTGAACTATGAATCCTAACACTCTAAGCACATTTTAAAGTACAATCATCGATGTAGAAATATTCAGGCATTTGCACAATAGTTTCCTGTTCTATACATTTGAATATAACCGAATTTTACTGATCCCAAACATTCTCCTACTTTTAATGGGAGTTCTAATTCTTTGCTTCACATATGTAAACAGATCATAGATGCAATAATGGATTGTGGCCTGCACTGGAAACCAGGATGCACATTTTGCCTTATTTGGGACTTATGAGCTGTATGTACCTGCAACTCACAGTTGAGGTTCACTCTGAGACTTAAACCCAATACCACTCGCTTCAAACGACATCGCGTTCCGAAGTGAACATTAACTCTGGGATGAAGGTACATCCAACTCACGAGTTCTAAATAGGAGGAAACGAGCGTCTTGAATTCCACTGCTAGCGATCGTCCATCTTTGCTTATAATGCACGTGAGTTAATGCAATATCGAGGCAATCCGCACAGAATGTACAAATGGCCGGCCAATAAGAGATTGATCAATTGTAGTCCTATACATCAATGGGAAGATTTAAACAAACAATACAAAATGAATTTCATTCATAGATGCATTTAGAAAACCTACAATTTTGGTAACATGAAATGTTGAAATCATTCAGCTTCATTAAGTTCGCACATACAATTGTGAAACGTTCGTCAATCGGAATAAAACCTAATTTGATATAACGGATAGTTTAAAATATATTTTTCTCACTCTCGAGTGTACTAAAATAAGACGTTTATACGGCATATTAGATCCAGAATTCACGACCCAGAATAGAGAACCAGATTAACACTAGATAATACTTTATTCAACACAATACAAGCACTAAGTCTTAGTGAATCCGGAGTAGAAATCAACGATAGGATAGGAAATCACATACTTAATAATCAGTAGGATGTGCCTGTTTGTCCACACACATACTTGCACTATCTCAACTCGTAACCTTATTAAGCACTCATGAGATGTACAATAGTAAAGCGTGAAATCTTTGTACGAATCAATATTTGACGAATAAAACTTGAATGGTATCGAAGGTTAAAAATGAAACTTGTTTGTAGATTATTGTAAGTACTCTGAAACAGCAATAGAATATAAATTTACTTAGTATTGTTTATTTGTATCTTCCCATTGATGTTTTCAGGACTGCAACTGGTCAGTCTCTTATTGGCCATATGTGCATACTGTGCGTATTGCCTTGATATAGCCTTAATTCATAAGCATTATAAGCAGAGATGGATAGTGGCTAGTAGTGGAATCCAGTTTGACGCGCATTTCGTCCTATTTGGGACTGGTCAGCTGGATGTACCTCCATCTCAGAGTTAATGGTCACTCTGGCTGGGACTCGAACCCAGTACATTCCGCTTCAAACGCCATTGCGTTATTCACTCGGCCACTGCGTCCTGATAGCCACTTGCTTGTGCAATGGTGTGAAGTTTAAATTTACTTAGTATTGTTTGTTTGAATCTTCCTATTGATGTTCAAGACCGTAACTTATTAGTCTCTTATTGGCCATATGTGCATACTGTGCATATTGCCTCCATATAGCCTTAATTCACAAGCACTAGAATAGCCTTTTTCTGCTATGTCTATCTCCCAAAAATGAAATATCAGTCCTCCAACTAGGAAAATACTAATTTTCATTCGGTGGTTCACACTATTAAATTCTTTGTAACAAATGTCCTTTTAAAATCATTCATGACTCATATCTTTTCATGTTATGTACTATTAACTATTTCCTTGTAATTACATGTTGTGTTCTTTTTATATTAACCTATTCATGACCATAAGCTGTCATACATTCTGTAATTATCTCTTTTTTATCCCAGCATAATGATTGTGAGCAAAGATGGGTGGTGGCTAGCAGTGGAATGGAGGATGCACGTTTCGTCCTATTTGTGACTGGTCAGCTAGATGTACCTGTATCCCACAGTTGATGTTTACTCCAAGACTCGAACCACGTACTGTTCGCTTCAAACAACATCACATTATCTACTTAACTACTGAGTCCTGATAACAACTACCTTGTGTAATGAGGTGAAGTTTTAATTCATTTTTGTATTGTTTGTTTGAATCTTTCATTGGTGGATTCTACTGCTAACCAACATTCATCTCTACTTGTGATTTGACGGAATATCGAGGTGATCCGCACAGAATAGACATATGCCGATAACCGACTGATCAATTTCAGTCCTAAACATCAATCGTAAGATTCAAGCAACCAATACAAAATAAATCAAAAATATTGATGTTTAGTACTGCAATTGATATTCATAAATATGATTAATAAACAAATTAAATCTTACTTGAAATACAGTTCGTCTATGTGGATCAATTAATGAATAAACTACTTGTCCATTTTCTCCAGCATCTAAATCCATAGCTAATATACGAGCAACTACTCTACCTGGTGGTAAATCCGATGTAATATTAACTTCTTTATCATTAGCATGAGGATAATGCCATTCTGGTTTATTATCATTTTCATCTAAAACTGTTATTGTAACATTTAATTCTGTACAAAGTGGATTTAATGATGCTGAATCACAAGCAACAATTTCTAATGTATATGCATTAATTAGTTCACGGTCTAATACTTCCATTGTTCTAATTTGTCCTTCAGAATCAATTTCAAATAGATCAGGTGAAAGGATACCAGTTACACTATTCCAAATATAACGAAGACTATATCGAACCTAATATAGAAGAATAATAATATGAAAATATCAAAAAATGAAATGACTTTGTAATACCTGAAAATCAAAAAAATTTCTTTCTGTTAGAATTTTGATTCGAAAATGTAAGGAAAGTTTAGATAAGATGGTGGTTAGAGGTGGTCAACAGGAAACCCTGGACGCGGGTTTCGTGCTACTTGGCACTCGTCAGCAAGGTGTACTTGTAATCTTGAAGGAACTGGTGCTCCCCGACAGATTCGACCCCGTGTCACTCAGCTTCACAGTCAGACACGTTACCACTGAGCTATTGGGGCCACGACCGACCTCCTGTAGGACTGAGATGTAATCACAATTGATTGATCACTGGGTGGTGATCAATGTCATGCGTGGAAAGTTTGTCTTTGGAATTAAAGTTGAAGATTGTAAAGATTTGCTTTTATACATTCTGTAAACTATCCCCACAAACCTTACATACAAATGTTAATCTTATGTATTCACTTGTTGCCTAGGACAGGGTTGGATGGAGAGTGCTGATCGGAGGCCTATGCTCCTCCACGAGGGGTAACAAACGAAAGTAAGTAAGTGTTCAGTTGTGATAGTGAGAGAACATCTCGACTTTCTAAAGAGAAGTCATGAATGGTGGTTGAAACCATATCAAGTGTGAAATAGGCATAACTGATAGCAATGAACTGTAGATGTACAATAGCCCGAATTAACTGGATAGAGATATGAACCATTTTATTGCAACTTAGTCGTTTGTGAATGCTAAGTTTGCTACGAAGCCTAAAGTTTATAAGGTTTATTCTCATTTGGAATCTTAGGTGTAGACTATTGGGAAGTTACACGCCAGAATGAAACATCAATTCATGCTTAGTTTTGTACGATCTTGCTTTGTTTCATCATTCATTACAACGACAGGTCTGTAAGCCTAATAAAGGGAAGTATTCATTTATACGTGGACAAATAAAGTAAAGCTGATATTTTTGACAAAATATGTTGGTAAATAGCTGTAAATAATTCATAGGTTACTTGTGAATGTAATGATGACAGGAATAAAAGTAGTGTAGAAAATGAGGACTCAGGTGAGGTAACTTTTCATTTTCTCAGTTCCGTTATTATTACGATTGCTCTCTGTTCTCCTCCCCGTTCTCCTTAATTCAATCTTCTGCTGGCAAGCATTCCATTTCCGATTGGTGATACATATTACTTATATTTGTCAGCATAAGTAGCATGGATCACAGTAGTAATAATAATACCGGCATTATTCATTAGTCACTGTACGATTGCAATAAAGAACATGATAAATATTAAGTGCCCACTAGTGGATTAATTAAAATTAGACACTAATACCGTTGGATCCAGACTCAGTTGTCTAAAGATTGAGTTCGCGAGAGACCAAATGTACTGGGATCGAGTCTCGGGTGCGAGACCGTGGTTTTGCACTATTTAGGAGCTCTATACTGAGGCGACACGGTCGTCCAGTGCTTCTAGGTTTTCAATGGTGATTTAAAATTGATCGGTTCATGATCTCAAATTAAAACTCAACAGACATATATACACGCAACCCTATGCTGATCATGTGTAAATGTTGATGAACGGTTTTAATCCCATAATACTTATTTTCGCTGCCTCATTAAATATATGAATTCTATAACGAACGCTCCTCGCTTTCCAAAGGACAGAGGAAGAAAGTACATGACCCACTGTTATAGTACTTCTTGAGTTTTTCAGGGACTAGATTTAGGATGATTTCTAACTATTTTATGAAGTTGCTTTAATGAACTCAGTTGATAGATAAAATCAACGAACTAGAAGAAACCTAAAGAAGGTAAATTTATAATAATGAATTCATGTACGACAAAATCGTGTCCCAACAGTTTGAGTAGACAGTATAGATATATCTGAAATTCTCATTAATTCATGTAACCTATCTATAAATTCTGTTATGTAACCTAAACAAGTTGAAACTCAATAGATGGATACACTTGACTTTTAAAAAACCACTCCAGATTATATCATTTGGAGGTGTAAAACTATTTGCCTTTATATATTGTTTAACATTTGAATAGACATCATACGAAGCCTCAAAAGTTATGGTAAATATATAATTGACTTATTGTGATGGTCATCGAGCATAAGTTAACGATTAAATTAAAGCCTATTTATGATTATTATTATTATTTAAACACATAAATATTGGTACAAGGAGGCACCAGATATATATGCGCCATAAAAATCTCATTTGATTTGTGTGAGAGCTGTTTGTTCCCTCATGATAATGGAGGCCATATGCACTATTGGTTTGGAATCAGGGTTTTTCAACTCCCCTAGGTGGACTTGCCGTGTCCACCAACCCGGTTGGAACGTCGGACATTCGCTTTTCGTCCTCTCACTTTCGTAAACAACACCCCCACCACGAGAAGGCATTGAGTAGGACTTCCCTGACAGAGGCTATATACGTGTGGCCATGTGAGAGCATTTGGAGAAGGAGAGCGGACTCTTCCCACTCTCGACCGTACCACGGCATTTGGGAGTCTAAAGACTATTATTATTATTAATATTATTATTATTACTATTACTATTATTATTATTATTATTATTATTATTATTATTATTATTATTATTATTATTATTATTATTATTATTAGTAGTAGTAGTAGTAGTAGTAGTAGTAGTAGTAGTAGTAGTAGTAGTAGTAGTAGTAGTAGTAGTAGACTTAAACTGTTACTCTCAGTTTTCTTGTAATTCACTACAAAGAAATTTGACACTATGTTAATGATGTTGAATATTGAAAACAGATGAAGTGAATATTCACAAATAATTAACATGTTAGTTGCTAAGCTGTAGAGAATTGTCTACATCTATTATGATACACAAATAGACATATGTATATATATATACATATAAGTTAACATAGACATCGTTAGTAGAGTAACTGGTTTTAATCGAAATATGTAGACATCAGATAATAATTACTAATGCAAAAAGACAATTTGAACTAGGCACAATGACGAAATTAGAGTAGAGGTGCAACAACTGTTCACCTAATCGGACAGAAGATATATATATATATATATATATAAGCAGAATAGAAAAACTCAGCAGGCAAACACAGACGGTAAGCCTGATGAGAATATATAGCCATAAGATGGTAACCATTTGTTTCATTTGTTATTCTAAATTCTTTTTCTGTTTTTTTTTTTCATTTTAGGGTCATATAACAAACAATTAGGATAGAATAAAAGAAGACGAATTATAAAGGGGTTATTTTATATGCTGTATGTGTCATAGGCGTGTCACAAGCAATTATTGGAAATCTACAAGACTAACGATAACGAGGAGAGAGACAGAGAGAGTGAGAGGGTGAGAGACAAAAAAAACAACAACAAAATGTTGACAATAAACAATAAGCTTTTAAATGACTGGAAAGAAGAGGTGTCTGTCAGAAAGAAAAAAGGCATAGAATATATACGAAAGGAAGTATAGGTCAAAAGGTCATTCTCTTCTGTATATTACTATCAACGATATGAATAAAAAACTAGTCTTTGTGTACACTGTGGTAGACCTATTTATTTCAGTTGTTGAATGAAAACTTGTTAACAGAATTAGAATTAATGATGTGTGTATTGATGAGCAGAGTTATTGTAATGCATAAATTAGCCCATTCACTCAACGACTTAGATATTAGAGAATCATGAATACAAATCGAATTAGTAAAACAAACCAGAATGATGGATTCATTTGCATAAATACTACAACCTCTTCTATTTCATACCTTTATTATGCATTACAACAACATATTCGATTCATTCATTTGCATCTAATTAAATGGACTATATTCGTACTACACATCAGACAAAATGTTTTGATAAAAGGAAGATAGAGATAATGATAATAAGTATGATAACTTACCAACAAGGTTGATAAGAATTATAACTGATTATGACAGATACTTGTTTAACTATTAGTGTAAAGGATAGGCAGAGATTGTTGGACTTTCATAGTTTACTTTAGGGACTGATCTTTGTGGACAACTCTTTGAAAGTCAAGAAGTACTAAGAAACTCATCAGCAGTGGGGTTCCAGGATTTTATCGGAGGTTGAACTTAGGCCTTTTGATTTTACGGCAGCCCTAAGATAACAATATTCACAAACTCTCCATAATACTAATAATCGTGTACTGACTAGTAGCTGAATTCGAGATGGAATTTCAAGAGTTCTAGTGGAAAGCCATGTCTAGAGGGAGTTCAATTACATCAGGTGCTAGATAGTCACCCATTATGAGCAATAGGAGATAGTTAAGCAATATCAAAGATTGGATGGCACCTTAATGGTTTAGAGGCTAGTTGCTCACCACTAGACTGAATGTTTTGTGTTCGACCTCCTGTAGGGTCATGGAGTGAGATTACAGAAAAATCTCTTTCCAAAACGAACCACTTATTTATTGCTTCATGGCCTGAAGTGCTTGTCAAATTAAGATCTATTCGTGATGTAAACCATAAAATTTCTACAATCTCTACATACTATGCTAATAATAATCACTCGTGAAATAATGATAGAATTAGAACATAATATTCATCAGGAAATTATATTAATTGGAAGACAACAAGTGAAAATTAAGGATTAATGTATAGGTGACTTATACTGAACTGGAACTTTTTAAAAGTATCCATCCATGATAATTTTTTAGAAATTAAGAAAACCAATTTCCTGTTTGAATTCACTTAGTATTGTTCGTTTGAATCTTTCCATTGATGTTTAGGGCTGCAACTGGTCAGTCTCTTATTAGCCATATGTGCATTCTGTGCGGATTGCCTCAATATTGCCTTAATTCACAAGCATTATAAGCAAAGATGGATATTGGTTAGCAGAAGAATCCAGTTTGACGCGCATTTCGTCCTATTTGGGACTGGTCAGCTGAATGTATCTGCATCTCAGAGTTGATGTTCACTCTGGCTGGGACTCGAACCCATTACCTTTCGCTTCAAACGCCATCGCGTTATCCACTCAGCTTACATTTTA